TTTCAACGCCGCGAGTCAACGTGACTGAAACGTCCAGACAGTCTGAAGTCCTGCCAGACCACAGTTTTTTGGATTTCAGCCGTTCAAGTCCTAGAAACTGTCGCACACCTTTAGCGAGGCGCTAAGGCGAGAACCACATCGCGGCGCCAAGGCGAGAGCCACAGTTTGAAAACCACATGCCTTCCATCCTTGAAGTTGTTGCCAAGTTTACTGGCGAGCATGGGCGGAGCTCAAGCGAGAGCCACATTTTGACACCCCCCCGCCCTCCATCCGTGAAGCTGTTGCACATGTCAAGCTTCAGGGTCATACGTGGCGAGGAAGTCTCATGCGAAACGCACAGCCCGCCCTACCGACACGTCTGGGGGCTCGACAGGGGAAAGTAATTTCCAAGGAAGCAGGATGGAGGAGGATGAGGCCGAGGAGGCGGAGGATGAGGAGGAGGAGGAGGAGTAGGAGGAGATCAACGCACCCTCCTGATTCTGCGTCTTGTTCTGCCTGCGCGTCGGCGCACCTGCAGAAACCGAGGACGCCGCAGAAGGAGGCTGTCCTCCTGCGACCCCGTGGAGCCCTGGAGTGGGGGGGGGGGCTGGGCAGGAGCGACTTCTCCATGAAGGAGGCCGCCGAGGTGTTCCGCAGGGCCTTCGGCGAGGAGCTGGGCGGCCCGCTCGGGCGGCCCTGCTCTGGCACGCGCCGGTCGCCGCCGCCCCGGTCGTCGCCGCCGTGGCCGTCGCCGCCGTCGCGGGGCGCCCGCTGCGCCCCTGGTCAGGAGGATCGAGGCGGCCAGCCCGCCGCGGATTCTCGGAGGGTTTTCATAGTTTTCGGCCTCTCGGGGGCCTTACTGAGCCTCGGAACGGTCATACGGCGACTCGGGAGGAAGAGCCAGTCCTGGAGAAGTGGATGAGAGGGGTCGTGGGCCCGTGTGTCGAGAAAAGCATCGAGGCGCCAGATGTGTGGGTACGGTGCTCGACGGTTTTCACGATTCAGTACGGTCGACATGGGTAGGGAAGAACGGGAACGACGACCGACAGCAGTTCCTGTCCATTCGGAGGAGGGGCGGCTGTCGGTGTCTCCGCGGACGTTGTCCATTTGAGACCAGAGGCCGCCTGCCCAGCGCGGCCGCTGTCGGTTTTGAACAGCATTTGCTGTTGGGCATCGTGCCTGTTCTTGTTCCCGTGCCCGCTTCCGGCAATCCATTGAGCAGCAGAGTCGAGGCGCACTGCTCGCCACGACGCGGTGCTCGGTGGTGCTCATGATGTTCACTGCGGCGCTCTTCCCGCTGCTCTCCTGCATTTCTGGTGCGCTGCGGCGTGGTGTGCTTGGCGTTCTGCCGGCTCGCCGGCTGGCGTGTTGCGTGGGCGCCTGGCACCAGCACGCCGAAACATGAGCGGTTTCTGCTGTGGCGCGCCCTGATGAGGACGCAGTGTGCACGCTGGTCGTGAAACGCAGGTAATTTTGGATTTCCAGGTCCCAATCTACTTCAGGCGCTTTCCTACTTCAAGAATCGATGTGCTCTTGCTGTGTTTTGTTCTTCTCTGGGAGGGCCTGAGCCTGGTCTGCTCTAGCGCCTTCCTACTTCATGCTTTTACCCACTTCTCCCGACAGACGTGCACCACGAAATATGAGCGTTACTGCTGCGGCGCGCCCTGATGACGCAGCGCACCGATGCGCCGTGCCTCGTCCGTCGTCGCTTTCGGCTCCTGGGGAGGCCCTGGCCTCGGAGTCCTCTTGCGGGCACCTCGAGGGAGCCGGCCGAGGGCGAGAAGCCGGCGCTTTGGGGGAAGGGGGTCGAGAGGGTCCTCGGTCACCGAGCGCGTTCCACGACTCGCAAGGTGCCTACTCGCAAACGCCCGAAAGACATAGGCTTGCCTCGAGGTAATGTAGCGTAGATCCCCGGCGCGGATCCGGGCCATTTGCGAGCAGTTACTTTGCGTTGGGCCTGGGTTGGCCAAGCTTGTTGGTTGCTTGTTTCAGCCCCACCGATGGCACGCGGCCTGCGTCGGCCCGCGTGGCGTCGTCTGCGTCACACCGAGGGGCTTCGATGGGCAAGCGAACGTTGGCGCCAGCACGCGTTCCGAGGATCATCGATAGGGTCCGTGGGCAGCGCCGCACAGCTGGGACCATCTTGGTTGTTATCGTCGTCGCCACCGCTGCGGTGGACGCGCTTCCTGCGGCGTCGGCTTCTCGTTGTCGTCCTTGCTCCTCCGCCCTTCTCATCCTTCTCGTGCTCCTAGTCGTTGTCCTCCTCATCCTTCTCATCCTCCTATTCCCCCCTGCTCTCTGCACCTTTCTCTGTCCCGTCTCCTCTTCTCCTATTCTTCCCTCCCTCCCCTCCCTCACTCGCTCCTCCCTTTCCCTTCTCTCTCTCTCTCTCTTCCTTCCTCCCTCACTCGCTCCTCCCTCTCCCTTCTCTCTCCTCCCTCCTCCCTCCCTCCTCCCTCCTCCCTCTTCCCTCCTCCCCCCGCTCCCTCCATACTTCCCTCCGCCCTCCCTCTCCTCCTTCCCCGTCGACCTTCCTCCTCTCCACTTCCCTTCTCCTCTTCCTACTCCTCTGACATCCGTCCTCTCCTGTCCTGGTCCTCATCTTCCTCCCGCCTCCTGCTGCTCCTCGTCCTCTTGTTCCTCCTCTTCCTCCTCCTCTCCTTTCTCTCTGTGGCGAAAGCTGCCCACGATGCTGCCCCCTCCGCCCCACGCGAGGCGTTGAGCCCGTCGTGAGCACCCGAACCATGAGGTACTGGCGCTCCTGTCGGGGGGTGTTCCCCGGTCCAGGGGTGGCCGTGACTGTCGGGAAACCAAATTCCGCCTCCTTGGCGCAGGGGGGGTGGAGTCGGTCTGGGCCATCCGTGTCCGCGGGACCCAGGGCTCGGTTACGGGGGCGGGTTGGTGGATGCATGATTTCGGTCGGACTCTGACTTGAGCACGGAGGCTCGCCAGCCCAAGCCGCTTGGGCAACGAATGCTACAAGATTGCGAAGGCCTTACGGCCAGTGCCGACGACCCTGAAGGCGGGACCTCCCCTGGGACCCTCGCTGGCTACCCCACGCGGGACCCGCCTGTCCCCCAGGGGGGGATCTTTTCTTTCACCCAGGACCGCCTCCCCCCCCCCCCCACCCCACCCCTCCTCAAAGCCCGCAGTCGAGTCCTGGCAAGCGGGCACGTTAAGGTACGTGCCCTTCTCGCTCGATGCGTCCAGCGAAGCAACGACTCACAGGAAAATGAGCGCTCCCCTTCCTCCTTCTCCTCCTCCTCCTCCTCCTCCTCCTTCTCCTTCAGGTTCGCAAGGTCAAAGGGCATGCCAGAGTTGCCGACGACGATGCTGCCGACAATGCCTGCTATCTGGGAAACGCGGAGGCAGACGCAGCAGCCCGGCGTGGTGCGGCCATGCGCCCCAAAGATGTGGAGGCCGAGCGCAGGGCTGTGGGAGCTTGCCAGCTCGTCGCGACGGTAGGCAGATACCTCTGCCGCTTTCTGTGGGTCTGGCCTTTCCCGCTGCGGGAACACTCCAGAATTTTAGGCGGTCGCCGCGGCCCGGCACTACCGGCCCACCACCCAGCGCTTGACGGGCGCCACGGTTTTGTCAGAGTTCAAGGGGGCGCCTGCGATGCATCCGGTGCTTGCGCAGCGCCCTCGTCCCCTCCAGCCTGCCTCCACGCGGCACGGCGCTTAAGGCCGCCGACGCAGACGTTGGCCTGCGGAGCGCTCATTTTCTGGTCGGCCTGCGGATCTCACTCGCGTGAGAATGCTGTCAGTCTGGCCAAGCCTTGTCGAGGGGGCATGCTCAATCAGAGCGCCACAGCCTTCTGCTTGAACGGGCTGTGGGAGGCCTGTGGCCTGCGGACTACTGGTGCCGCTCTAATTAGGCTGCCCCAGGTCTCGGCCGTTCGGAGCGCTGGCCACAGACGCACAATTCGGGGACCTCATCGCTCTGCTTGGCGGCAGTGATGGGGACGATCGCGGCTAGCCTCCCTCGCTCCCTCGCCCGCCTCCTCGCCGTGATGTGCCCCGCCTCCTCCCTTCTTCACCTCCCTGCGGACTTCCCAGGGCACGACCGCGCTTCGCCATGCCGCGTCGCGGGCCCATGGTTAAATTGTGTGCACGGTCGCGGGCTGTGCCCGCGCGACTTGCGCGCTTCGTGCAGCACGGTTCGCGCGCCGAGCAAAACTCCCCCCCCGCTCTCCCTCCTCCTGCGTTCCAGGTCGCCTGCAACGGGCGTGAAGACCATACCGCTTCGCGCGTCGCTGCCTGGACCAGAAAAGACCTGCCCTTCTCCACCGGGGCGGCGCGAGGGCGCGAGGATGATGGCGCGCCGCGCGCCGCGAGGCGCGTGACGCGCGAGGTCGGGCGACGTGGGCTCCTCGGCTCCCCCCTGGCCTCGGGCATCCCCCCCTGGCGCCCCCCCCTCCCGCAGGAGTCCTCCGAATACGGCGCCCTCGTCGACCATTTGCTCCGATCCGCAGGGGGAGGCGGCCTCCGGTGCCTCCGCCGCCAGTGTCAGTGGTGATGCCTCGAGCGCATGTTTTGTTTTCCCCCTGGCGATGACTGGCGTGGCTGGGGGGAGTCGTGCCGGCGCCGTCTTGGAACGCCCAGGAATGGCTAATTCTCACACGGCGCTGGCGCGAATCGTGACGTGACCAAGGGGGGGGGAGGGGGGGGCGGGCCAGTCACCGGCGTCATCGTCTGTTCCTTCGGATTCGAAACGTTCACTGGTGGCGTTGCGCGATCGTCCCCTCCTTCTGCCCTCTTTCGAAGAAGAGCAGGCGGAATACGCCGACTTTCGAAGCTCCGCGCCTTCCCTGGCTCGCGGAGCGCGCCAGGGGTGGCGCTGGAGGCGCCGCCAGGGGGGGACCCAGCGCCGACTCAAAGCATCCGCTCAGAGCTCCGAACGTTTGTGTTTACGCGGTTTTGATTCCTCTGGCTTTTCTTCTCCCCGAAGTAGCTTCCCTTGCATTCTTGCCTCTTCGGTCCATCCTTCACTAGGAGGCGACATGCGAACCCGACCCCACCACCCCACGACTGTCTCAGGGGGGAAGTGGGGTTCACTTCGTTCGGGACCTCCCGAGCGAAATGAACTCCACCTCCCCCTTAGAATTCGTGGGATGGTGGGGTTAGGGTGCGCACGTGGCCTCCTATAAACCACTTTCGCTGGCCGCACCCCGCTCGAAAAGTGTCGGCATGGGCGTCCAGGGCCCTGGCATCTTTCATCGCGCATCCTGCGGGGGAGGGGAGAAGCCAAGGGCCGCCACGGGGGCGCGAAGTGGTTTGCGGTCAGCGGCTCGCGATTTCCTTCAAGACAGTTATCGGGTTGCGAGGGGGGGGCTCACGGGGGAAGATGGGCTCACGGGGGGAGGATGCGCTCACAGGTTCGATGTTCGAGGTGTTCGGGCTTCTCGTCGGCTCGCGGCGGTGTTCAGCCTCCAGGGGGGGGGGGGGGCCGTGCGAGGCCGAGGCCCGCCGGGGGACGAGTTCGCAAATCGGGCGAAGTGGCCAGGCCAGGCCGTCGGTGTATTATCGCGTGCTCACGTCGAGTGTGCCCAGGACATCGCCGTGCCCCGCATCTCCCGAAGCCCCTCGCTCCCAAGACGATGGCCGTCTTTCTCAGACTCCTCGTCCTCGTCCTCGTCGTGCTCGTCCTCCTCTTATCCCTGGGGGGGGGCGGGGGCGGGTCGGCGCGAGGGCGCGGAGTTGTGCTCGCGCTTCGCGCCTGCGCGCGGCGTCGAAGGCGCGAGCACGGCTTCCCCTCCGAGGGGCCAAGCAGAGGCAACACACCCCTCGCGAAGAGGTCCACCGTGCCTCCCCGGCGCCTCCCCGGTCTGGGGACGACGATCGGCGGCCAAAGAGGGGGGGACGTGAGGAGGAGAAGGCCCTCTCAGAAGGCGGCGGGACTTCTCAGAAGCCCTCGCGCCTTTTGGGAGGGAAGGGAAGGCTTCGAAACTGGGAAGGCTGTGGGACTTCCGAGCCTTCTGAGAAGGCCCGCCCCTTCCCACTTCCCCCCCGCGCTCGCCGCCAAGGTCAGGGGACACAAAGGTAGAACCTCATTGTGTTTGGCCCGACCCCCACTTTTTCAAGATTCGATGTTGGGTTGGGCCTCGCGGAGGCCTTGGGGGTTACACTTCTTGTGTCCTCTCACGCTTGTGCTGCCGAATGTCTGGGACCAACTTTGAACCCGGGGGGGAGGAGGGGGGGCGAAGTCAAGGGTTCATTTTTTGTCCATCTACGGGAGCATCCGGGGCCAGGCCAAGAAGACCAACCGGGGCTCCGTCAGCGCAGCGGTGCCTGAAGTCAGCTTTGGGTCCCCGTCAGGAGACGGACGCGCGGACAGGCCCGCCGGGGGCGGGCCGCTGCTGGTCCAAAAACTCCAGGGCCCCCGCCCAGAGATCGGCCTGTCGTGGGGGCCCCGCCAGGGCGCCGACGACGCATCAGGCACATGCCAACGCGGACGGCGGTGGAAGGCATGCCCCGAGACGTGGGGCCGGTGCCGCCCGATTTGGCGACGGGGTGCGCCGATTCTGTGCGGAGGCAGGGCCCGTCGCTAATCCACGCGTCGCTAGTGCGTGTTTGCGCTTCCTCGAGAACAGCGGCGCCGCATCACCACGACGATTTTACACCGCCCCTTGGCCACATGGAGGTGCTGGTGTCGTCGTGCCTTTGATCTCTATGGGCGTCGGGGTAAGCACAGGACGGGCACTTGGTTGTGCTCTCGGCGCCCCGCGGACCGCCTTCGGGCCTCGGGCCAGCAGCAGAAGCGCACCAACAACGAGCCGAGGCAGAACATGGGCCCACAGGGTGGGATCAGGAGTCGGGGCTCGACCTGAACGGCGTTTTGGGCGATTTCGTTGGCTCTCTTCGTTTCGATTTCGCTTTGCGGCAAAGGCGGAACGAAGACAAAACGAGGGGGAATCAAAAAAACGGAACCAAACATGTTGTTTAGGTCGATCTCTGTCAAGATCTTCTGGGGCCACCCTACAAGCAGGCCCGCACCGTGAGTAACAAATCACGGCGTCACGTCGGAGGTCTCGCATCTCCGCTTCTCCCTCCACTCCTCCCACCTCCCTCTTCCTGGCCTCCCCCCCCCTTTTCTCCTTCCACCCCCCATTCGCCCTCCAATTCTCCTCCTCACTCCAGCTCGCCCTACTCATGCTTCACTCTCCCCTTCTCCCTGCTCCTATCTCCTTACTCCCACCCTCAGATGGAGTGTCCACGCCCATCGCGGCAAGATACGCGACATCAAATGGTGCATCGACACAGCACCCGCCGTCCCCGCCTCCCCAGCAAAATTGACGGAGCTGGACGCGAAGCAGTGCTCACCTTCTTGGTAAGACATATTTCATTAGTTTCGGGTCTACCGGGTATTGTATATGCAAAGGCAGATGTATACGCCGACGTGTGTGCGTATGCGTATACGTGTAGGTGTGTACATACGCAGGCTACGCTGGCGAACATGTCGATGTTGATGACTATGGGTGCGTCCATGTGTATGTTGTCGTTTACGTAAATGTAGCAGTGCATGTAGATAGTATTCGCGGACTTCTGGAGTTCACACTGGAGTTCTTCTTGGATTTCCTTAAGGCCTGCGTATAGCAAATTGTTTTCCTCTGCTCATCACACCGTGCGCAGGTACCCAACTTGGTAAAGCTTGTTGAATCTTGTCATGGTATTTATAGATCGCTTCATGCCACTCGCGTGACGCAACGGGGCAGGAACGGTACCCGTCGGATGTGTGGAATCCAATTCAGTTATTCAGTGATCTCTTGACTTGGTTAGGGCAAGCACACTACTTCACAATCAGGCGCCATCATGTTTAAGCATTGGCTGGAATCTTACTTCGGAGCGCAGTTCATGGAAGGAGGGCCGCTCACGCAAGGGTGCATCACCAACTTCACCACCGACGTAGCACATCAGCATCATATCAACGTGTACGTTGAGTTGCTACGCCGTTAAGCTTCTGACCGCGCCTTGGACGGGACGCCATTCGGCGTTCCCACTGTCGATCTGTTTCTGGAGCTACTTGCCAGAATTGCATATCGATTCAAGCCAGGGCCAAACGGTATCCCAGGAGTCGTATAGATGCATGCGCTTGGCCAGGTGGACGTGAATTTTTTTCGGCGCTTTTGCGCGGCGCTTCGAAGACATATTTTAGCAGCTTGCTGATGTATATTTGTGGAATTGGGTTTGAGCTCCTTGGCATCCCCACACAGCAAGTCGACAGTTTGAAGCACTTCCGATGGTTTTGGCGCGTTGGCCAACTATTCAAGCCATACCGTTCTGTTGTTTCGCGGAATCTAGCCCCGATCTTGGGGCCACTTGCATGGACCAGAAGCTACGGCTATCGCGAAGGCGCCTCGGTGGGTGATAATCTCAGTGTTCGTTTTGGGCCGTTGACCTTTGTTGTGAAGTGGATGGTGTAGGTCGTGTTCGGAGCGCAGGATGTGCAGTCTGCTTTCGACTCTGTGGAGCACGTCGACGCCCTACGTGTTTCGCGGACCTTGGTGGGGACTCCACATCAGGTGCTCGCACTGGCCCGCGAGATCAAGGGTAAGGCGGTCCAACTACATGTTTTCGGTATTGCCATTGCAAATCCAATTGCCAAGACCAAGGCCCTGAAGACTGGTGCACGGTGCGAGCCTTTTTGATGAGGTCGTGGACGCCTTGGAAGCGGAATGGTGAGTTTTGGGTTCCGGGTACGTTTTGTTCGATTCGGGTATGCAGATGTCTTCTGTGACGTGGGGCGGCAAAAGATCCTCTAGGCTCTCAGTCCAGACGAGCATTCTTTAACGTCGGGCAGTCTTACGAATGCAGCAGAGGTAAGTACGGCTGTCAATGGAGACGGTCGTCCCTCGAGATGCTTGCGGTGTGTGTGTGTGTGTGCGTCTCTCCCCAGTCACTTGGATTATGATGTGCAACTGTCTGAACTGATATGCGCGGTGAACGGTACCATCATTGCTCTTGGTGGATGCTCGTGCGCGGACAACCTGCACGAGTCCATGCTGCGACGCTGCTAGACAATAGGCGAACCAGGTCTCCTGAAGTACCGCTGACAATTGTTTGGTCGAGGGGTGCCTGTCAGCTTGGAACTCCAAGCCTGGTCCACGCGGCCCCAGGCATGATGATTGCTCATGAGCGCTGTGATCCACTGGGGCCGCGCGCTGCTTCTTGAAACAATGAGCTGGTAAACGGACATGCCCACGGAGGGTTTTCAGAATGCGATGCCTCCAGGACAAGGGCGCTATGGCTTGCAACAAGCGAGCGTGGCACGGTTAGACAGGTGGGCCGAGTTTTGGCCCTTCAAGCATCTACGCTTTGTTGTCATGGAGAATTTGTGCACTGGCCTTTGGGCGCGAAAAGGGATAGAGGTGCGCCTGCTATTTGCCGCGAGCGCCACGCTGCATGGTGGCAGAGCAGGAGACGGAACCGTCGCAAGACTGCTGAAGGAATCACAGAATGCTCTGGTGCGCCAGAGGGTTGG